GTGTATAATGATGTGATTGTGATGCTGTATTTCTGAGTGTTTTATGTGCTGCAGAACAGGAACCTGCTGTAAAACAGCAATTATGCTGAGTCAGACTTGATTTTTAATAATATTTTCCTGTTTAATAAATAAATCAAATCAAATCAAACACAGTTCACTGTGCCATCCACAAATGCTGGCTAAAGCTCTATCATGCAGAGATGAAGCCATATGTGAACACTAAGGAAATTTGTGTTTGGTAGATTTTTTTGCAAGAATGTTTATTGGCAATAAATCTTATTCCAATGGAAAGACTGTTAATTTTCATTGAAATGGTGCCACATTTGTAAGGAACGTGCATTTGTGGGATGAGCAGTAGCTGAAACATTTGCCAAATCTTCTCTGCCAAACAGCTTATTTCGCTGTTGATATTGACAGGTGCTGGTAGTCAGATGTCTGGGACAACATTTATTGCCAAGATGCAACAACAAAGAAAGAATCACTTACTTTTTGTACTAAATATAGAAACATCATCTTTTCTTAACCAAAGCTCATTTAAAGTGAACTGGAATACTGTTCTATGGTCAGACGAATCAAAATTTCTTATTATTTTTGGAAACCACAAACACTACACACAGGAACCACAGTGTGCATTCAGTGTCTCTTGTGGTATGGGGGTGCATTAGTGCCTATGGTCTGTGGAGATTATACATCTGGAAAAGGCTATATTAATGCAGGAAATGTTAATTCAAGTAGAACAACTTGCTCTTGGGAAGATGTCTACTTCCTGGAAGGCCTTGCATAATTCAGCAAGACAAAACTAAAACACGTAAAACAACAATGGCTTCCCTGAGGTGCTGAACTGACCTGCCTGCAGTTCAGATTGAAAACATTTGATGCATCGTGAAACAAAGAAATCCAGCAAAGAAGACCCACGACTGACGAACGAGCAGCTCAGACAAGAATGAAACAACATTCCACTCTGAAAACTTGAAAAACCAGTCTCACTTCTTGGACAGACTGCTGTTAAAAGAAGAGGGGATGCTTTACAGTTCAGGCTGATTTTTAACTTCAAAAAGCCAAATCAGTCTGCATCCCAGCTGCAGCAGCACAGTCAAAAACTGTGTCACTGTGTCATGCAACAGCAGGACCAATCAGAACTCAGATATATTTGAGTGACACCAGGACGTCTATTATCAGCCCAATCCCACGAGGACACTCAGCCAATAAGGAAAATCCAACAATCATTTATGTTTTGTTCCTGCAGAAAGGTTCTTGAAAAACAAGTAGCTTCAACTAGATGGAAAATAAGATGAAAATAAATATTTTAAAATGGGGAAGGTTTAAAAAGACGACATTTAAACCTATATTTACACAAATACCATGATTTTATCACAAATGTTCTGGGAAACAATTCAGACCCCTTTTAAGACAACTCATGCTGTTTTTATTTTTCTCTATAATATTTTTCTGTCCTAAAAATAATCTCTGCTGTTTTCTTGTGCAGCACTTTGCGCAGAACGAAAGGCAGGCTTTTCTCTCCCCTCAAATCTGTGCCACACATTTCATCCCTCTCTCAGTCTGTGTCAGTCAGGACTTTTCCTGCACCACCGTCTTCCTCTGACACCGTGAAGAGAAGAGTCAGTTCTGGTTTGAACCAGCATGATGTGTTACACAACAACAACGCAGCAGAGGGGTTTTGAGTGGACGCGCACCGACAAGACTGTTAAAATAATATTGTTTATTCACCTTWCGCTCCTTCACTCGCGTCATTTATGAATATTGACTATTTTTTTCATAATGTGTCATAAATGCTTTGATGGGAGTTTTTATTTAATGCTGTTGATGTAAATACTGTGCAGACCCACTTATTAGACCCCATTTCATAAATATTTTTTAATACTTACATAACTTGGATCAACACACACACAAGAGGTACCACGATCCAGCCTGTACATGCCGGTGGTTGTCATGGAAACAGGGCAGCATCCCTCTCCATCCTTTGTCCGGGCTCTCCCCGCTCTGCCCCCCACAGTCGCTTGAGCTTCCCAGGCAGGAGGAGGTTTGGATCCTGCATGCAAATTGAACCCCTTATTGGAGCTTCAAAAACAGGGAGATGGGAGAGATTTTAATTTAGAGGGTGAACGTGATGAAGAGGGTTTCTGATCGCAGAAGGGTGGGCTGATATTAAACCAGGGTTTAGGTAAAACAGAACCGAACAACCGGAATTTGAACTTAAAACAAGGTCAATTTACGGTTTTAATTATCTACATGATAAAAATGAACATTAAAAATGTGCACCATATGGATGACTGTGCATCTCATAGAAGAAAGAACATTGTGTCCCTTTTTGCTTTTAGATTCTTAGCTATACTTGGAAGACTGGTCTGAGAGTGGCAGTCACTGCTGGGATTTATTTAGTTTTTAATATTGATTGAGGTGTTATTATCCAACCCCAGACATTTTTTTTCCTATGTCTGTGAGTTCATTTGCGTCTGTTAACAAAATATCTCATGAACCACTGAATGGATTTAAATGAAACTTTCTGGAAATAATCATTAGATATGCCTGTAGAACTGATTAGCTTTCAGAGTTAACCCAATTCAAGAAGACAGCCACAGCCTGCAGAACTCAGAAAACACAAAACACAGCTAACAACCTACCAATTTTGCAGAAATCATGCAACAATTTGGTGTGGTAGTAGCCGAGAGTCATGCACAACACATACTCCCAGGGCTACTTATTGTACAAGATCTTTGCTTAAAACATCAGCATTAACTGTTGGAGTCAATCCTGTTTGTCTGTTAGCAAAATATCTTGTGTACCACTTGACAAATTTTAATGAAATTCTCAGGAAGTAATCAGTGGGGAAACAACTACAACTCCTTAACGTTTGGAGTTAATCACACTTATGACGGCTGCCAAAACTAAGCAAACATATCAAACCCAAAAATAGTTGTAGTTCAGTCAGTTTTATGGATATTGAGCTCAAATTTGGTGTGGTAGTAGCTGAGTCTTTCACACCACATATTCACATTTAARAAAAGATTAGGAAAGCTCAGACTTGTTTTGACTCAACGGTCCACTGTCAGAGTCTGGGAATCAAGCAGAAACATGCACACRACAGGTGAAGAGAACACAGTGTTTGAGTTCATGAGTGTCCAAAGATAAAGAACAAAAAAAATGCAAAAAGTTTTGAGCACGTTGTTGGGCTCAGACCAGGCTGTCATCAAACCTGTGCTTTTCCTGCGTGACTGGTTAACTTGTTCCAGGCGAAGCCAATCAGCAGCCTAACTAAAAGCGTGCAGCGGGGAGGCAGCTGGAAGGTACTGTAGGGGAAAGGTCTCAGAAACAAACCTCGGCCCTTCCCCCCCCCTCCACGATAGGAGAACACAAAGGAGGTCGGTGTCATGACTGAACCACCTCGTTTCTGTTTCAAAACAAAAAAGGTTTATCCACAGATGTGAGAACAGAATGTACAAGAGTCACAAAAATCTTAAAGCTACAGCATCAGATTTGCTCTAAGCTTTTAAGTAGACAACTGATTTTAAAGATTTGTTTTTTTGTAACCAACAGGACGCAGACAAAATAACTAGTTCTCAGACATAATAATCAGTCTTGACAGGAAAGCAGTTTTGACACCGCACTTCTGGGAATATCACCCTTAGGGTGTTGCAGCGAAGGAGCCAAATAACTGTCTCGTGAGTGCACCACTTTCCACTTACAACCCACAGGCTTGTAAAGAAAAAAAAAATAGAACAAAGCTGCTGTTGAGCTTTTGGCACAAAAACTATGACAAGCTGACAAACAGCATGCTTGCCAAAAGCAAACGTTTAAACTTTACTGGTTACCTTTTGGGTGCAGTTCACTTCACTACTCTGTTTACAGTTTACCATAAAAATCCTGCTGCACCAGCTGTTTCAACAGCTTTTGCAAACTGAAGCCGGTTCTCCACAATCTGGAGACCAGCCTGCACTTCTGATGCCAACCAGAAACCATTGTTTTTCCCCTTTATACAATTACAGTGGGGGAGAAAATAAAATAAAATAAAAAAAATCAGTGCATGAATGATTCAGTCTACAACGATCTGGCTCAGACACCTTTAAGAGACCCATTTGCCAGAAGCTAAAGTTGTAGCATATTAGCTTAAACAAAAAGGTGTCTCCTGATGAGTTTAACTGTGAAATTCAAGAGTCAAGACACGTGTTGTGATAAAAATAAATGTTTTAAGTGTATCAATAAAAAACACCAGGTTCAGTAAACAATGTTTTACCAAATCAGGTGACATTACAATATCGTCGTTAACAAAAAAGGATAAAACTCCTCGAGGAAATCTACAAATGGCAACAACTTATGTCTGGGACATCTATAAGTGCACCGTACAAGTTGACTTAATGTGTCAGAATTTGAAGACATCATTTACCAAAAAAATAATAAAATTCATAAAATGAAAACATTAGTAACATTGAAGACCGGACATCTGAGAGTCAACACTAATACATGAACTAATCACATTTATTACTTTACACATGGTCGTCCAGCCCTACTCTGCAGTGTCCTTGTGCTTTAGTTTTATTTTAGTCACAAACAGACAAGAGGGAATGACATGACTCAGGGTTATAAAAACAGTATTATAAAAGTCAATCCTTGCTAAAGACACAAGGAAAGATGTACCCTGACGTTACCAGCTCAAAACCTCCAGGAACCTCGTTACCGTGTCACGTTTAAGTTGACCAGCCAACTTTAAACCATTAGTTAAAATTCTTAGTGGGAGAGGGGAGAAAAATACAATACAGTGCTAAAATCAGGAGGGAAGTAGAGTCAGTCCATGAGTTTGGGGGGGATGGGGTTTAGTAATCGGTTGGTTCGTCACCCTCCTCGTTCAGCAGACAGGTGCGGATCAGGGCCTCGGTCACGCCGTACGGGTCGCAGTTGGCCGACGGACGGCGGTCTTCAAAGTAGCCTCGTTTCTCCTGGCCGACATTACGAGGGATGCGGATGCTGGCGCCTCGGTTGGCCACGCCTGCGGAGAACTCGTGGATGTTCGACGTCTCGTGGCGCCCGGTCAGACGGCGAGCGTTGTCGAGACCCCCTTTAGGATCGTAGGCACGTATGTGGTAGTCGTGTCTCTTCGAAAGCTTCTCGATGGAGTCTTCGATGGCTCTGAAAGCAGAAGGAACAGAGTTAGAGACGTGAAACTAGGCCAACACCATACGCTTCAGAGCCGCCGGCTCACTTTAATCCGCCGTCTTCTCTCATCTCCTTCGTGCTGAAGTTTGTGTGGCAGCCGGCACCGTTCCAGTTTCCTGGGATGGGCTTGGGGTCAAAGGAGGCGACAACGCCGAAATCTTCACAGACACGATGAAGGATGAAGCGGGCTACCCACAAATGATCACCCATGTCGATTCCCTCACAAGGTCCAACCTGAAACTCCCACTGAAAGTACACAAAATAAAAAGTTTAATATCATATAACAGGTTATAAATACCAAGTTTAACACCTGAATAAAGTCTGGTTTCTCATTACCTGAGCAGGCATCACTTCTGCATTTGTTCCGCAAATGTTGACCCCAGCATACAGACACGCCCTGTAATGAGCCTCGACAATGTCTCTGCCGTACGCTTTGTCAGCGCCAACACCGCAGTAATACGGACCTGCAAAGTTGCAGTGTGTTAAACTACTATGCATGAAGGGTAACACTAAAAAAAAAAAAAAATCATTTCCTCACCTTGTGGTCCTGGGAAACCATTGGATGGCCAGCCAAATGGGTGTCCGTCTGTGCCCAGAATGGTGTACTCCTGCTCCATGCCAAACCAGGGGTGCTGGTCCGCCACCATCTGCATCATCTTGTGACATGTGATCCGAAGGTTGGTTTCTGCAGGGGAAGAATGCGTTTGACGTCATTTCAGTCAAGTCCAACAGTGACTTAGTGTGGGTTAAAATGTGACCTGCATAACTTTGCGCAATTTTACAGCCAAGAGTTTAAAGAAATGAGTTACTCTGTTAAATGAATTAAAGAACGTTGAAACAACGCTTCGCCGTCTTGATTTCCACACAATGAAACCTTATTGTATTCATCACATTACGGTAAAACGTTCCGCTAGCGAACAGCTGTTTTGTTTACCGGCAGGTTTGCGGTTGTACTTCAGGACTTCACACAAGACCAGCTTGTTGGGGTCTTTGCGGAACGGGTCACGGAACATGGCAGAAGGGACCAGATACATGTCGCTGTTGGAGCCCTCTGCCTGGTAGGTACTGGAGCCATCGAAGTTCCACTCGGGGAGCTCTGCAACAAGAGAACGATTTTTAAATTTTAAAAAAAAAAAAAAATCACAGGAGGAAGAGCTCGCAGAACCCCCGCCAAAGTATCAGAACACCCCCACTTACCTTCAATGCTTTTGGGTTCAGAATCCAGAGTCCTTGTTTTGCACCGGAGCCCCTCTCCCGTTCCATCTATCCAAATGTACATGGCCTGGACTTTATCTCCCTGAGGGAGCTCCATGTACTGCTGCTTGACAGCTTTACTCAGGCTGGCACTGGCAGACGTGGCCATCTTAGCTGCTACTATAACACACCTGAAAATGAGAGAAGGTATGAGACCGCAGTGGACCACATGTTGCGTAATGAGGGTCTGTAGGAGGAGGAGGAGGGGGTGGGAGCCAACTCCACACACACAAAAAAACAGCACCACTGTTTTCCAGAAGGGGGAGGGGATGAAAACTTGAGGATGTAAAAGAAAAGAAAACCACATTTCCAGTTTTCTCCTTTAATAACCTCCCCTCTCAACAAAATGAATTTTAATCGTGCGTCAAATGATAAAATTTAACCCTGGAGACAGACATCTGACAGAAGGATGACGCATTACAGATAAGAAAGTGTCAATCTACACCAAGTTGTTGCAATCACCATGATTACAGATGACTGCAAGACATTACATCATCCTCTTCCTGGTTATAAGTTACCAAATACTACAACTACCGGACATGAAAATAGTAACATTAAAGATCAAAGTAAGAATATTAATAAAAGGCTGTTTCTACAAACAAAAGAGAACAAGTTACGTTGAAATTCACTGCATTAGTGAAGGAGAAGTCAGGTTGAAAGAGTTCAAGCTGACCGCGTTAAACATGAACACAAAGCAGAGGTTTAAAAAAAAGACAAAAAGTTACCTGGAGATACAAGAAAATTGAAATAAAAACTAAAGGACTGGACGGTCCAAGGTCTGGTCGGATGCTGACTCGCTAGTACCTCTCTCATTCTCCGGTACCAGCGGCTCGCAGCGAGCCCAATTTATAAGAGCCTGAACGAGGGACGTCGCGCCGCTCTGATTGGTCGGAGGGAGGAGAGACGCTGGGAGCTGATTGGACAGAAAACAGACCGGGCAGCACCTGAGCCGCCGGCACAGACGTTTAACTCATAATAATTTACTTATTCTGAAGGTTTTTTTTTACTCGAACTGAAGCCAGAAACAAAGAACCGAGTCTGAAACGGAACAAACGTGGTCCAGTGATGGACTCGGAACCGTGTGGGACAAAATGTACCATAATTTCCTGTCCTGGTGAGTCCGAGGCGCCACCGTGTGGTCGACATCAGAACTGCACCTACTTCCTATAAGAGCATTTGGTACGGATTTTTGCTGTGAAGACATTGAATTAATATTTTAAAACTATGAAAAAAAATCATGTTTTATATTGAAAGCCAGCAGGCTAACATAATGTGAGCTTATATTTTACATTTTAGGTTTTCACACTCCCAACACTTTGTAGTTTGGAGCTACTGCTAGCTGCTAAGATAGCTCAAAGATTTATTAATATATAGGCTTGAGTAACAAGCATTTACTTTTCAYTTAAATGTACAAATATGGCAGGAAAAATTCTGCTTAATTAGCCTAAGCTATCTGCTTCCATCATCATCAGCCAAGTAAATGACTTTTTATAAGTCGCTCACTTTTTTTTTTGATATGATATTCTACCTTTGCAAAAGGAAAAACAAATTTAATTAGACAAGCAAATTTATAAACCAATAGAACAGTAAATGAATTAACCTATAAGTAAAATGCTCTAAAAATGTCCCAGCCTGGGAAACAAATTATGTAATACACATCAGTTTACAAACATATCCCTTTGATTTAAGATACTTACTTATTTCAGGAGTTACAACTTAAAAATGTTTGATTTTCAGATTACAAAAACAGAAATAAAGTTGAGGTGTGGGTGACTTCACAGGTGAACGGGTTCCTGTGCTGGTCCTGGTCTGAGCTGGTCTGTCAGGACAGGTTCTGGTTCACAGCAGGCCTTCTTATTAGAGTGGAAATAAGCACAGGTGTGTTAATGAGGGCTGCAGCCCTCTTCTGCCTGCTACATGGCTGTTTGCATCCTTTTCTTTAAAACTCGCTTTAACACTTTAAAACTAACAGGGGCATAAAATGAACAGAAAWAGACACTAATTAATTTTCATTTAAAACTAGCCCTATGTTGTCCACACATAATAGTTTCATACTGGGACAAGTATTATTAGTTAATATAAAGGATCATTTTCCATAACAAAACTTTTGGCAACCAATCATGTTCTTTAAACCATTAAAGCCTTTGAATTTTAAAGTTGCTCACGTATATGACGTTTACTGAGTACACTAATCTCAGAACTTACTGTTTAATTTATTTATTTAGTCGTCAGGAGGACTCTGAAGGTGCATGTTTTGGACTGTGAGAGGAAACCACTAACACAGTCCACTGAGCTTTTATTTTGGCGGTGCGTCCCTGAACTCTGAAGAGCCTGTTGCACTTCCGGTGTTTCGTTTCTGTCCGTCATTTTCCAAAGCAGGTCTTGCTAAAGTTTAATGTGACGCTAATTGTCAGAGTTGCCTGTCGTGTAGCTCCACTCGTACACGTTTGGAGTTTCTCCTCATTATCTGGAGCTCAAGGTTTAACTCGGACCTTCGGCTGCCGGACTTCACGGCTTCATGGCTGCAGGATTGCTTCCTGTTTACCTGTGACGTAACTGAGGCGAAGCAGGAAGTAAAATCCGGACTGGAGTCCAACAGCACTGGATTGAACTCATACTTTCTTTAATGCAGCTTATGATGTTCAAGATTCAAGTAGTTTAATTGTCAATGCTTCATATGTGCAAAACATACAGAGAATTGAAATTGCGTTACTTTCTGATGTTATGTTGTTTGCAGTGTTATATTTAGGAGCTTAATGATGGACATTAGAAGAATGTCCTGATGCATCTCAGTAATCCAGGTAAAAAATCAAAAAGAAAAAAAAATTGTGTAGGAGCCTTGATGTCCTTTTCAGGGGCGCCACCGAGCCATTGGTTCAGATATGTTGACGACACCTGGGTTAAAATKAAAGCCCAGGAAGTCCAACATTTCACTGATCACATCAACTCTGTGGATGAATATATTAATTTCACACGAGAGGATGTAAAAAATGGCAGGTTGGCGTTCCTGGATTGCGATGTCTCGGTTTCGGATGGAGGACGGTTGGAAACTGGCGTGTATCGTAAGCCCACCCACACAGACCAATATTTGCGTTTTGACTCCCACCACCCACTGGAACACAAGTTAGGWGTGATCAGGACTCTGTACCACAGAGCAGACAGTGTCCCTACAAACCCAGGAGCCAGGCAGAAAGAGAAATCACACACACGACAGGCCCTGGAGCAGTGTGGTTATCCTGACTGGGCTTTCCTGAAAGCAGACAGGAAACACAGACAGGATTCCATGCAACCTTCAGGTGAAAATGAAGACCCTAAACCCAGACCCAAACCAGTGGTTATTCCGTATGTTGCGGGTGTTTCGGAGAAACTGACGTTTATTTTCTAAACATGATGTCCCAGTGGCTTTCAAACCCCAAAACACATTACGGCAAAGGCTGGTTCACCCCAAAGATCCGGTGCCCCGGCACAAACAGAGCAATGTTGTATATGCKGTTAAGTGCCAGGAGGACTGCGACCAGTTATACATCGGGGAAACAAAGCAGCCACTGTTCAAAAGAATGTCCCAACACAGATGAGCTACATCTAATGGCCAGAACGCTGCAGTTTTCACTCATTTACAGGCCAGTGGTCACTCTTTCAGAGATGAGGATGTTCTCGTTCTTGATAGAGAGGAACGTTGGTTTGAGAGAGGAGTAAAATAAGCCATTTTTGTGAAGAAAGACCATTTATCATTAAACAGAGGTGGAGGCCTCCGTTTTCAGTTGTCCCCCTCCTACAGCGCTGCCATTGGCAGTATCACTCCACCCCCTGTTAACAATAAGTGTTAATTAGGTGTCAACGATAGCCATGTGATGTGAGTATCAGTCACATGGAGGCAGGGCTTAAAAGCCTGAATTTTGCCTGAAACTCTCAGACTGAAGAAGTCTCTTGGAGAGACGAAACGTTTCATTAAAGAAGAACCCGTCCAGAGGATATACAATTTTTTTTTCTTTTTGACATTAGAAGAACCTCGTGACAATGGGCACAGAAATCTCACCCTTCTACAAAAAACCATAGATAATCTCTAATTAACCCTTCTGTTTTCACAAATTACACAGTTTAGTATCATGACACTTCATTTTACCATCCCCACAAGTCGTTTGTCCTATTTCTATGTAATGTGTTGAATGATGATTTATTTTTTTATCTAACATTAAATATTGCTTGACATTAGTTTGCAGATTTGACCTGCCTTTCTGGGTGGAGTTTCCATGTTCTCTCCAGGTACTTTGATTTTCTCCCACAGACCAAAAACAGTAATTAACCTAATTTATATAACTCTAAAGTGTGAATGAGAGTGTAACTGTTTGTTTTTGTTCACGTGTCCCTATGTTGGACATGAGGCCTGTCCAGTGTGACCTTCACCTCTCGCACAGTGACTGCTGGTGATAGACACCCAAGACGCCCTGTGACAAGGAAACGAACAGCAGGTAAAGATAATAAATGGGTGGATGATCAGTCTCACATGAACCATTACAGCTTTAGTGGGGGATGAATAAAGTATCCAGAGACCTGTGTTTATGTTTTGGATCTGCAGGAAAGCTTGAGGTCAGCTGTGAGAGTTAATGCTGATGTCAATTAAAAGCCCTCATAATACCTAAAAGGTTTCCTCTGGTTTTAATTCAGATTTCCTAAGTTTCCACATGGGATCGTGTCGCAGTTTAACTCCGTTCTCATCAGAGGCAGAGTTTTTCCCGCAACAGGCCTTTAACTCGAACATGCTTCCTGTCAGCGAGCAGCGTCCCTTCGGCAGCGTTGTGTCCCGGATTCAAAGAGACAAGTTGAATACATCGTTTTGCTCTCTTCTACACAAAATTAAATTACCTTCTTTCCAGTACATCATGTTAACAGCTGCTTTAAACGGTTTCTAGATAAAGAACAGCTTCAAGATGTTTTTGGAATCAGAAAAGTTGCTGAAAGCTTTCCCAAAGAATTCTACAAAATTTTGATAATAAGTGGGAAGACCATATCCTAATACTGAGAGCATATATCAAGTATTATGCACAACCTTTTTTTAAAATATTAATTAATGAACCAAATAAATGTTAAATGTTTTCAACAGGGAAGCACATGTGAAGAAAGAGTTGTTTCACTGATATTCAAGTGAAGGCAATTATCTGATTTTATCAACAATTTTCCAAATCTTTAATCAAATTATCTCACTGTTTATAAAAAAAATGACACGTTTGGTGTTTTCGATCAGGACCAGCTCCTTTCATAAACCAGGTCTCAAGTTCACCGTTGTGTTCTCAGAGAAAACACGTGGAGGCGGCGCGGTTTACTCAGTGCCAAACTTCCCCGAGGGCGCGGTGCAAGCTGCTTCACCAGTCTGCTGGGAGTTTTCTGTCATCTGATACCTGGTGTTTAAGGAGGGAGGAGGACCCCAAACTGGAGGAACACACGTGAGAGAAATCTTTGGGAAACAACAATGTGTCAAAAGTTCATCAGGTTCTTACCACCTGTGTTGTTGAACCATGTCTGTGTCTATAAGTTCACGATCAGTCAAACTGCTGGACGGGTTACTGGGTTTAGAGGGAGGAGCAAGATGTTGGAAACATCCTTTTTTTGTCACATTTCTTTAAGTAAATCTGTTGCAAAGATCTAGATCTGTGCAAAAGTCTTGAATCATCCCTAATTTAAAAAAAATGTTGGCTTCACAGAGTTTCTCCTGATCACTATTCTTCAGGGTTTGTCTGAATGTTTTTCAGAGTTTTTCTTTAGACTTTGTTGGCTTCTTTTTCTCTCAGCCCATTAAACCCCTTTAAGGATCATCCGGGCAGATAAAAAAAAGTCTCTTCAGCTGAACGGACAAGCCGGTGTTGTGAAAAAGTTAGCAAAAAAAGGCACATTTTAAAGTGAAGTTTCTTTTCCAGCAGCCTGTCACAGAGACAGTTTGTTCTAATTTTATTAAATGAATCTATAAAAAAGAAATACCAAAGGAAAAACTGTTTGACAGACAGAAAAAAAAACCCACTTTAGCAGCAACAATTCCCAAAGAGCTGAGAACCAGTCGAAACTCTCAAGTCCTGAGGGTTTTTCATTTTTGCAGGATTTTTTTTCCTTTTTTTAAGGTTACTTTCAAACACTCTTATCTGCTTCAGATAGTTTGTTATAGACTTTCCTCTTTTAACCCTCGGCACACGAATGAAGTCATGATTAAATCATAGATATGGACAGTTAATGAGTGAAAACGCAATGATTAAAAAAACAACTTTGATGGATCATATATGTTAAAAATCCTTACTTTAATGAACAAAAAAGTGAACGTGACCTTGATTAAAAGTTTCCTATACATGTTTCTGCATCAACTTTATCTTATATAATAAAACTGTAACACCACACTCTTATAGTGCAGATCTGGTGAGATAATTTTCTCCAATCAAAGACTGCAGATCCCAAAGTTTTAGTGAATGTGATAAACTCTGTTTCATGTTTCCAGCAGAGGGCAGCAGCTACTTGTGTAAGAAAAAAAGCATTTTGCTTTCTGATCATTTTAACAGCATCCTGTCAGACAAACAAGCTGTTCTGTTAGAAAAGCGAGGCTTTTAAASCAAGAACACGAGTTTCATTTATCTCTAGTTTAGAGCATGGGTGTCCAGTCMCACCGTCCTGCATGTTTTCCTTGTTTCTCTGCTTCAACACCTAAATCAGTGATTGAATTACCTCTTCAAGTTCTGCAGAAGCCGATTAATCACACGTTTATTCAAATCAGGCGTTGGAGCAGAGAAACCTCTAAAATAAAACCTGGTATAGTGGCCTTCGAAGACCAGGACCGGATGCCTCAGKATAAGATTTGATTCAGGTCTGAAGCTGACTCCTTCCACCTTWACCCCTCGGCCTCTTTACCGTTAGGCTCTGCAATCCCTCGGCCATCATCTATCATCACGCCCTCTAGACCACAAGACAACACTCAACTTTAAAAATTAATAAGGCTGACAACAGATTTGTCAGAATCTCAATGCCCAGCAGGTCCGCTGAGCCTCGTCCAGTCCAGCTGTAAATCAGGCCAGGAGCGTGTTGGAAGCTCCATCCAGGTCTCCTCATACGGAGCATCATTAGGGGAAGAATCTGCAATAACACTTATTGGCTGCGCAGCATGCAAAAACAATCAGCCGCTGAAATGATGCCAGATTCTAGTCTGATTTCTCTCTGCGGTTCTGGTTCTGGTGAAGGCAGAGTGGCGCCCGGCATCATGGGTTATATTTAATCCAGCCTCGCTGTTCTTTGGGATAATAACTTTTTTGCTCCATTCCTCGACTTGTCTGTCATCTTGACATGGCAATATCTCCCAACTCCACTGTTTCATAGTCAGTTTCATTTATTTCCAAATACCATTTCACACCCTGCTGGCTTTAACTAGGTATTATACAGCGAGTGGGGAGTGCGCCGCAGATTGAATCGTGACAGAGACAACAACGTTTCTGGTGAAAAATAAGGGAATATTGTGAGTGGGAGACTTTATGAAGTAAAGAATTTTTTTGTTCAATTTAATTTTTCTCTTATTTTTTTTATCTTCAGGTGCTCTTAAAGATATATTGGAAATCTGGAGCTTTCCTTTTTGTTCTTTTGAATGATCAAGTAGTCGAATATTCTCCAGTTTCATTAGAGATTATAAACAATTCAGTTGTTTTTTCTCATAGCTACTTCATTTTGAGTGAGTTTTAACTTAATCTTTTATATCACTTGCAGAAAAAGTGGCATTGTGGAATAACCGTGTGCATTTTAACCTGAGCTTAACCACAAAAATACAACACCAGTATCTAAATCTATAAGACTGAACAATCTAAAACAGCAAACCATATGCAAAATTACACCCAAGCTTATAGAAATTTACCGTTTATTATAATTTTAATGACTCAACATGTAGATTTGATTATTTTTAGTGCAAGGGTCAAGGTTTAGCTTTCTGCTAGTTATTAATTGTCGCTAAAATTTTTCTTTCTCTTAGTTTATTTCATTAAATCTCAACTTTTTTCTTTCCCAACCTCTCAGTTTTACCCAACCCTTGTATCCAAGTCACTTGTCAGTGTGCATTGCCAATGCAATGCACACTATTGTGATTCGTTTCCCATCCAAGTCATCTCAGCTTTGGCATGCTTCTCCTCCTGCATACTTTGTCCTAGAGCTGCCATTGTAATTTATATCTGTAAAGCCCCTGTGCCAAATGATGGCTATGCCTTTTGGTGCCTGTAAAACTTATAGTTTTTGAAATATTAATGTTTAATAAATTATAATGGCAGTCAATGGAGCCTTGTATTGGTCCAATACTGCCCCCTGCTGCATCTACACAATATGGTACTGCACCATAGTTTCATAATATTTTAAATCAGTAGTTCAGTGATTACAATATTAATATGATTGTATTTTGATGTTTTACTATAATATTGTCTTAAAACTGCCCTATTGTTGTAATATTATGCAGTTTAGTGTCAATAATTTTATTGGCAATGTGGCCTCTTTCTGCACACATACAATCCAACCCCTGGCACAACCTTCTGCCACAACTCCATTGGTCTAATGGTCTATGTCATGGACTTTCATGTGGGAGATCAGGGATCAAAACCTGGCTAATGCAACTTTAAGAAAAAATCTCTTCAAACTTCATATTGTAACTCAATTACCTTAATTCTAAACACCTGCTGACGTGACAGGCACAAGCTGRTAKAGAAAACACATTTGAACTTGGTCAAAGTTCATTCTGCAAGTCCAATGCTGCAGGCAAAGCCATGCTGCAATGACATGCTACGTGGCAATGCGCACTTGTTATTACATCGTAAAAACCCATGTCTAGTTGTCTGTTTGTTTTCTCAGTTTCTGTATTGATAATATTTCGAGGAATTTGTGTTTTGACAATCCCATATTAACACTTAAAACTTTCTCTAGGGTAATGATTAAACAAACATTCTTCAAACTAACACAGATTTGTGTGCAGTCCTTTAAAATAAAAAGAAAAAATGTTTTTTTTTTTTGTGGATACTTTAAAGATGATGCCAGCTGTATGTCAAAAACAAGCACAACTACAAGGGACACAAAGAGGATGAAGCATGAAAGAAATTTAAATAAAAAAAAACAATGGAGTTATTGCTCCGATATATTATTGAAGCTGAACCTAAGTGCAGAGTCGTGTTCAGACTTTCAGCTATTTCTCTTCACAAATGTAGAAGACGAAGACGCTTGTGCAGAGAAAACATTATGTTAAACATTTCTTCAGTCATTTCTCTTTTAAAAAAGCATGCTTATTTATCAAATTATTTTTAAAACCACCTTAATATTTTACCACATATTTATCAGGTAGGGCTGAATTTAAAGGTTCTTCGATAACACTATGTTTAGATCATGTATTATCTTAACCTGACTGTCCCTGCTTTTTCTGTTAGCACACCTGCTTTTATTTAGTAATCATCCCTTCCAGTAAACATGCCTTTGTCAGGTTCATGTGCCCTGCTGGTTTGTCTGTGTTTGGTTCTGTCATGCTTTTGAACATCTTGATTTGAGTCGTGAAAGTCTTGCTTCATTGAGAGTTTGTCTCCTACCTGCCTGCTTTCGGGTCTTGCTAAAACCACTCAGCCCGAGTCGAGACGATCAGCCTGACATTCTGTGCCTATGTGGTGTAGATTAAAACATACTGAACTAAAACAGCCAAACGTTTTACGTCTTGCATGTTTTATCAAGTGAAATCTCTGTTTTTCCCCCCCCCATCAGTTAAATTAAGAGGCTGGGGCATTTCTGTCATTTATTCCCTCTTCTCCAGTAAATGCCCTCTTGACGCCCACAGGAGCCTTCATCCGGATGGATCACCCACGGATGTGTGTGCTGTGTTGCCCGTCGGTGGTCCCTGCCCGTGGCACGGCGGGTGAGCGTGCTGTAGTCCCTGCTGCCACCGCCGTTGACATATCAGAGCTGTTTATTAAGAGGATGACAACTCTATCAAGCCCCATAAGCGGGCCCTCGTGCACAGGAGTTCTTTTGTTACTTTCCGGGAAGGTGTCATCAATCTTGCTGCCATGCTACTCTCTTGAGCTGTTGATGGCAAACACGATTCCTCCCTTTCTGCCTGGCCTCTCCCGCCTCGCAGTCTGGATCCAGGCGTGGCGAGGAGGGGATCGTGGAAGATAGGAGGACTTTCCCCGAGAGTGCCTTTTCTTGACAGGCGACAGAGCGGACTGTTTGGACACCAGGGGTGGATATATGGGACCGTGTAATGAAAAGACGCTGACAGGACCTGCTTGCTCTGTAATGAAGGTCCTCTTGAGCTGTGAATGGATACACACACATCTTTCACGCTTTTGTCTTCCTGCCTTTCCCACAGACTCAATCTCATCCATTTTAACCAAAAAAAAAAAAAGAAGATGGTGTAGGAGAAACATCCCAGACAACAAGTCGTGGTGTTAAACATTTACATGCAAAGACATGGTGTGAATTTTTAAWGAAACAGCGACTAAGTTGTTTTACACCCACAACTTGCAGCTAAACCCTGCTCCTGCATCAGCCAGGGAAGGTGCAGCCGATTTTCCTTTTCACCTTCTTTCTGTCTGTCAGTGTTATTCAAGACTCGGCGTAGCTCACAGAGATGGACTATGATGTATGTACTCCACTTCGGCATCGACTGAGGTCACAGACTCCATAAATGTCTCAGACAAGTCTGATATTTTAATCTCTTTTTAGTTGGGAGGATGTTGGACCTTCGCCCAATCAATACGCAGGCCAACAGCCTTGCCAAGACATCTCATGGTAACTTTTCATTGTTCTGTCTGGGAGCTGAAATGTCAGCCCGAATAGTGCCGCTCAAACCGAAGCTGAAACACGTCTGTCTGCAGTCAAAAACATCTTTCTTTTATGACCCAGAAGCGTCTGACAATAATGAACATAGAAAATGCCAAAGATGCCTGAGGATGAGCGGCAGACTGACACCTGAAATTTCCTTTTCTTTTTTTTTCTCCTTCCCCTCACAAATCAAATCCAACCTGTTTAATTCATCAGTCAACAATAGCCTCGAATGGCAGAGCGGGAGGGTGGGGCTGGAGGGGTGGGGGGTGTTGGTGCTGCTCCCCTTTGTGAGCAGCCAAAAATATCAAGACACTCACATTAACATTGCTAATTTGTTTGCCAGTGGTTTCCAAGGCTCTGAATAATTGGCTGCGAGATATTGTTTGTTCAGGTGTTCCACATAATTGAATTCTGTATTGAAAAAAAGAAAAAAAATACTGCGTCTGAATGTCGGCAGAACGCTGAAAAGAAACGTGCACTTTGTGGCGCGTTTTCTTTTGAAGGCGGGAGCGATTGGCGCACATTAATTCTCGCCGCACATTAACTTTCTGGCTAAACGTGCACAATACGCCGCACAGTTTGAATTCTAAAACAACTCGTGTTCAACCGGTTTCCAATTAAGCGTCCCGTTTGTTGGAGCTCCCTTTTGTGGCTCCCTTTTTCCGAGACGACGTGCTTCTCTTCTTTTTTATTTTTTTTCCCCCGTTGCACATGCTGACCTTTTGAAACTCACAGATTGAATTCATGCATCCATTATTCGGACCAAAACGCTGCTTTTGTCAGCAATCCTCCGTGAGCTCTGCACTGATAAGCATGTTAATGTGTGTTGCTGCACAGCCACAGGCCCATCTGCACATGTGGAAGTGATATCCAGCTGGACACGTGTTGACAGAGCCGGATGATGTATTTGATCATAGTTAGTGGTGGGGAGGGTCGGGTTTGGCTGCACGATGCTGACCTAACGCCTTGACTCCATCCGTCACCTTGTCCTCCCCTTGACTCCTCGCCCCCTGATCCCCCTTTCCCGCCCCAGAAGACCCAAGAAAAACAATCCTAGCTCTGGAGAACTTCCCGGTGCTCAAACCCTGTCTGGGCAGAAATAAATTAGGTTGGAAATCAGTGCTGGATTTTGCTCTTCGACCACATATTGACCACAGATTTCAAACCAAAAAGCTGCAGAATCGTTCTTTAAAAACACACACACACATCCGTAAAAATATTGAATCTGAAACTGCTTCAGCAGCAGAAGTTTAATTAAACTAGAAACTGTGTCAAAATCTTCTTGACATTTTTTTAGGTTATCAAAAAGTATCAGCTGACAGAACCAATCAGTTCAAGTCTGATTGCCCAAAAATAGAAGTTCTGATTAAAGAACAACTTATCAATCCGAGGTCAAAAGAGGAACTTGCTTTCAAATGTGCCTAGTCTTCACAGGTCATACTGAGAACTACAGCAGGGAGAAAAAAAACGTAAAAAAAGTCTTTCAGAGCTCAAGTCAAACTAATTTAAAACACAATGCAGTAAACTGTTTTTCAGACGTCACTCCTCATAAAGTCTCCCTTTACCAGGCTCAGTGAAAATAAACTCATTTCTGCTTTATTTTATTTATTTATTTATTGTTGTTCAATGTATTAGATCAGTCAGTACAGTTCACATGAAAGAATGCATATCGCCCACCACCTTTTCATGTCTGACTTTAAACTTTAAACTAACCTCTTCTTGTTGAGAAATTACAAAATTGTAGCTGTTTTGGTCCAACCCGTATCCAGAGTCTTCAGATCTCAAGTTGTGTTGAGGATGACTCTCAGCTACTACCATGTCCAATTTTAGCTCAGTCTGTAAATTTTACAGATTAGAGCCATTTTTTGTGTGTTAGCCAAGGTTGATTAACTGTGGTGGCCATCTTGAATTGGGTTTCAACAGTAGATGCAATCCAAAATAATACATTTTAGGAGTTTTGTTAAAAAAACTGTTGTTTTGCGTTTGGCAATATTACAATACAACAACGATTTTTTTTTATTATAAGATTTGCCATGTTTGTATATTTAGCTGAGTTTTGCTTTAAAAAAAATTAAAAAGCTAATTTCTTGTGAACAAAGAGACCYGAACTTGGTTTGCTTTAACCACATGTTCGTTTGATTTCAGTCCACATTCAYCCAGATGTCACAAAATAAATTACCAGTTAAAAAAGCATTAAAGGAAACATATCGTGCAAAATCCTTTTTTAGCTGTTAAATGCATTTTGTTGTAAACTTGGAGTCTATGGGGTGATGTCTTTATATTCTGTTAAGGGTTTCCTCTATTTTCTATGAAGTTGTCTGATATTGGGTCACAGTTTTTGCRACAAACCTTCTAAATAAGATCTGGACTAACCAACTACAATTTTACCRTCTTCAGTCTCCTCTCTGGGTCAGACTCTGGCTCCAACATGYAAAGGCTGGATGGACAAGTCTTTCGTTGTTGACATATTTTGATTAACTTGTAAATAAAAYATTTCTGTGCTGCTRGATAAATGTTACTGGATGTTTGGATTTAAAGAGACAGCCTCAAAACRAGTTGMTTTGAGAGAGACCAGAAAAGAAGTGAAAGAGRTGCTGTTAAAGTYAAAATAAGGAGGAATTCAGACCAAAGTATTGCASTTCCACTTTATGTAAACCCAAAATGAATGATCTAAATATGGAAAAACATGGATTTAAAAGCACGATATGTCTACTTTAATTTTCATCATAATCAGTTGTCTGTTTGTTTGGAGCAGGGATGGGCTACATCCATGCATATAAGGATTCAAMTTGTCTTTTTGGGAGGTAGATTATCTGTTCACATATTTCAAAGCAAACCTWTGTGTTTAGTTTGCTTAGAAGTGCTGTTTGCCAGGATTTTAAAACAATGAAGCCACTTCAACATGTTGCAYAAAGCTAAATATGAGAAGTCTGTTGAAGTCGTAAGTACATAAACAAGAGTGACTTTGTACCTGATTCACAACCACACAGGAGTCTGCACTCAAGGCATAAATGCTGACTAATATAAACCAAGTATCAGAAGTGTTTGGCCCTCAGTGTTAGTCTGACACTGTGCGTGTTTCTTGCTGTTGCCAGAACTCTACATGACCTGAATGTGGAGGGCAGAAAAAGCCTCGGTCAACCCATTCTTGTGTCCTTCCTGCTGTTCCTGAAGAGTTGCCGTGGCGTTTTCTTCTCCCGCTGGAGGCGGGGGGCTGCTGTCAGTGGGCACCGTTGCCATGGAGGGTGTGCTTCAACTGCAACAATGTTTAAGGTGGGTGGTACATGTCAGGGAGACGTCCACATGAAAGCCCAAACTGAAGTCTTYGCAGCAGARTTGTTAYAAGATGAATGCTACTCACTTGACTTTTCAGTGGTTTTTTAACGTCGTTTTATTATGTTAACCTGATCTGACGACTAAAACACCCTCTTCAGCTGCTGYATCTGGTCCCTTCAGTGTAATCAGAGCTCCTCTCATGCTTCTGCTTACCGAGCCCATGCGTTGTTTGTGAGTGTGCGCAAGTGTGTGTTTGAATCTCCGGTCTGATAATCAGTGACAGAGACGTTAGAAGAGTGTGACAGAGTTCTATTTGCCGTGCCTGACATCTTCATCCCATCACTTCTCCTCGTCTTTTTAATTCCTCTTCCCGCAAACTTACCCAGGATCTGGCATCTGCGGCGTTTCCAGGCGGATACACCGCAGTGGACTGGGAGTTCTGCAGAATTCAGAAAGGGGCCACGGCAGCTCAAGCAGGTGGAGACAAGTAAGAGCTGTTTACATGGAAGGGAGAAAGACAGAGAAAAAAAATGAGTTCCCTTTCAGAGCAGTGTACTTGGAAGTGTTTAGCAGACGTGCTGTCAGATTCAGAGGTTAGAGGGGATGATTGTATCGACAGGCTTTATTTGCTGGTTAGAAGTGAAAAAGAGTCAGAAAGCAAGAAAGTGCTTCTGATGCAGGAACACGCTATAAATCATCACAAGCAGTTCCTGCTGGGTGAAAAATGAAAGCAGGAAACACTTGTGAATATGTGGCCATTTTCTYTCTTTTTTTTTAGATCCACTCAAATATTTTTGCTTCATTAGACAAACATGTCCGATGTAATTTGGCCCACATGGCTTTGAAGGGAATTTGCACGTGGAGTCGTCGGCAAACGCTGAAACCTCGACTCTAATAAACTGTAAATACGCTGATTATGATTTATAGCGTTTTTCTAACCTGATAACTTGATGTTTGAGAAACACATCAAAGAAAARACTTCAATTAAGCTAATTGTTGTTTGCAAGTATGTCAAGTTTTGTAACTCGCTAACTTGAATTTATAGCGTTCAGATTAGCGACTGACAGAAACATCTAAACACCGTTTTGTGTATTTAAATCTGTACAAACTATTTTGGAACACATGTTTGGGTTTTTCCATCTTCACCACACTCATTTGCACTTTCGCAGTTTATGCACTAAATTACAAACTCTGTTTTGTGTGAAGATGGGAGACAAATCAATCAACAAATGCTGCTACAAAACACATTAGCACGTGTGTGTCTGAAATAAAATTTCTTTTACTTTTAATATGACACATTTCTTCCAAGTTTTTAAAGTGAGCATTCATGGTTCATTAGTTTCAAAATATGATAAGAATAAAAAAACCTTCTTCTGTCCGTGCTGGTCGTTGGAGTGATAATAAACATCCATCCATCTCTTCTAAACTTAGCACAAAAAGTAAGAAAATTTGTTTTTGATAGGATATTTATTTGTTGTAGCAATGCTTCTTGGCAATAATACTGCGTTCCATTTACATCGTATTCTGGGAACTGGTAAATGGTATTGACGTCATTTCCCAACAGACCATATGAAACTCCATTCCAGTTAGCCGACAGGAGATTGTATTGTTGCCGCTAACCTAGCTACAACACTGATACAATATAAACAATGACAAAAAGAGAGCTCTACTATGTATGTCACGCAAATAAACATTGATTTTAATAAGTATAGTATTGCATAGAAAACACACTACTTGTGTGAGTGATTAAATATGCACAAAAATATTTAGAAAGATAATTAACAGTAAGAGTTAACTTTCTAAAGCTGCGAGTAGCCGCCATCTTGAAATCAAAACTGGGGGTAGTTTCATTTCTTCCTCTATACAAGTGGAATATTACCACTGGAGAGGGCATTCCAGTTAAAATCTACCAATGGGAACAGGGAAATTACCACTTCCCAGGACTACTAGAACGCAGCATAAATCTTATATCGTCAGAGAGCCTGTTAATTTCCCTTTTAAATGGTGCCACATTTGTAAGGAACATGCATTTGTGGGATGAGCAGTAGAGCTGAATATGTGGGTAGCGCACATGAAAAAATTTGCCAAATCTTCACTGCCAAACCARCCATTCTCACTTCTAAGTCATCACATATTGACGCTTGGTCAGGTTCCCTCTGTGTCTGGTTTCGATGCATCGGGTTCCCCCCTTGCTTCAGTTATTGACAACCCTACCCCTAACCCTAAGCATAATTTCAAAAAGTGTAGAAAATGCACAAAAACTAAAATTACCTTTATTCGCTGTAGACATCATGTCCCTGGCCCTAGTACCTAAAATTAACCATAAACCCTGATCCCTAATATTAACCACGGACCCCAACTCAAAGACCCCTATATTTTGCGTCCCAACACATCGAAACTGGACGCCGAGAGAACCCGAAAATGTCTGGTGTATCAATAACTGACGTGATGGTATTACCAGATTCGTCAAAATAATATGGAACCTGACCAAGTGTCAATATGTGACGAGTTGGGAGTGAGAATGTGTTAGCCAAACAGCTTTTTGTCCCCCATCGCGGAGGCGGGGACATAGAAATGCTCTCCGTCCGTCCATGACGGGGGACATAAATGGTTGGCGTCAAGTTCTATCTTTGCCGTTGTTATTGACACTTGTTTTGAGCTTCTGGTACACCCAGATGCTGCTAATCAGGTACTTAATATAAGATTTATTGCCAAGAAGCATTGTTACAACAAAGAAGTAATCTACTAGACATGAATTTCCTTATACAGTATGTGCAAAGTAATACCGACCTGTGTAACATTCATAGGCTTTGTGCTTCTTATAATCCATGGGAAAAGGCTTTATTCCCTCCTCTTTTTTTTTGCTCAGTTTCTGTCATTCATTGCAGAAACCAGAAACCAGGTTTTCTCATCACTTTTGTAGCTGAAGTTGAAACAAATGAGATTTAGAATTTCTTCCGTGCTTTTGGACTGTACGATACAAAGCCCTTTTTTTTATACACAAGAGTAAGAAAAGAAAACTCATCTCAACACATGAACAGATTTACAGTGTTTGGAGATATTTACTGTAATATTTGGTTCTTTGTTGGATTTCAGGTGAGCTCAAAGAACAACGTGTGTCAAACACAATGATAAACTGTCAAATGATAATGAGCTCGTTCTTTTCAAACCCACCGGTGGATAGAAATGGGTAAATGTGTCGAACGCATTTCAGTGCTGCAGAATTGTTTCTTCAGAGACTTATTGGTGGCGCTCTACATATATATAACCCCGTCCACTGAATGGAGGCTTTACAGTGTTTGTGATGCAAAGTGAGAACATTTAGTGTTTTCAGTTGGCAGCGACCCATGATTCCTGACTTCTTCTTGTCTTTGTCACCACTGACGCCGTACTCTGTTTTCTCTCATCTCCAGGGCGACCGGTGCTGAACGCTATTGTGCCGATGTTTATCCACAGCTAAGGTGTCGCCTGTGTGTTTAACGGACCCCCCCCCCCCACCGGTTCACATCAGAGTCCGCCCCCGATCCCAGCAGAGCAGAGCAGAGCTGGACCCCGCCTGCCTGGGTGTCAGCGATTGGAGGCAGAGCGTGGATGAGATCCAGCTGATAATGGCCGCTTTGTTCCGTCGCTGGATGTGTTGAAGCTGCAGCTCCTGTGGACCAGGAGACGCCTGGTCAAACAGACTCACACAAAGGCTCTGGAAATGGCTGGACGTGGCCCATTCTCCTCAGTCTGCCGCACTGCCAACATTCGCCACCTTCCACGGCCTCCGTGAATTACTGCCCGCACTACCTTTCACACATATAAAAGCACTCCTTCACTCAGTGGGAACACTGACATTTGCTTTTACTCAAATACAAAGGATTTTTTTTAATGTAAAGTGTGTTTTTTTTAATGAATACTCAGAGGTCACGTACACGGTTGAACCAGTATGGGGGCATTCTTTATTCAGCTGTAAAAACCACACAGGCGTTACAGGATCCAGAACTTAAGCTCAAATTTCCACAAGTTCTGATTTGTAAGTGCTGGATTTGTGCTTGTAGGATATTATTTTCCACTTTTTGACTGACAAATTAGGCACAAAAGAGCCGTAATATCCTCACAACCAGGAGGGAAACGTGGGCAAATTATCCTCCTCTGCTGCACTTTTACCACTTCCAGAAACATGGCCGCACATAGAACAGCCAACGGTTTGTACCTTCGAGGAGAAAACTGTAAATTTAGCAACTAATAACAATAGCACATCGAAGGAACGCCAAGAAATAATCTCTTAAGCAAATTCAACACCGATCCTCATCTAACGGAGACTGTTTTTAACCTCCTTAGCATAAACCCCCTGGAGGAAATGGCGGATATGATTAGGAATTCGTTAGCAGGCTTCTATTTTCATGCTGATGACACACTTTCTTCTCCTGGGCTCCAAGTGTTACTGAATCTTTACTTTCTCTCTGTTTTTTTTTTCTTTTTTTTTGCGTGTGTCTAACTAGATCATTTGTACATGCAAGCGCAAAGTTCACTAGCTGCCAGCAGCGAGGACTGATATCAGTAAGAGAGGGAACTCCCCCGTCGACTGTAATCCCATCACACATGCCGCCAAGCCGTTCACAAGCATCCGCACGTCCCTCTTTCTTCAGACGAACTTTTCCTGCAGATTCCCCCGGTGCGGCTGGTTCATCTTGAGTCCTCACCGGTTTGGCCCGCAGCTGTGCCAAATGCCTCAACGGCTGACAAAGAGGACGCACAAAAACCAAGCAAAGGATGCCACACAGTTCTGTTGAAACTGCCTTGTGGGATTTATTTATTTTTTTTGTCCGCCCTATCATGTTTGGAGCAGATTACGGTGTGTCCACACATTCCCGCTCCCCAGGGTGGCTCCGCTGGGCTTCAGGTATTGTGACCAGGCAGGCGGGCTGGTGGCCCCGGGCCCTGGGCGCTCCTGGCAGAGGAGAGGACAGCGGCTGCATTTGTTTGCCGCTAAAAGGGATTACAGGTCCTGACGGCCATGATTAATCACCCAGAGGCAGACATCTGAATGCAGCCAGGGAAAGGTTCAACTTTTTATTCATCCCGCACACAATCTATTCACGCCAGCTGTTGGCACCGCTCCCCCCCCTTCATCTCCCGGCTCTTTCTTCTCAGTGACCATTGCCTTCCACCGTCTTTCTCTCCCCTCGTTTATGGCTCACACAATTATCTGGGGACGCAGTTGCTGTAATTGTGGGGGTGCCTGGACAACGCTCGGCTCTCTATTTTTATTGGAGATGGGTTTCTTTCTTCTTTGTGGGAGAACAGTTAATTGACTTTGTTAATGCTTTTGGGGATCAGTGATTTCTCAACAACAAATGACCTTTATGGAGCTCGGCGGCGCATATTGTTTATCGTGTGTGTGTGTGTGTGCTCAAACAAGTGCGAGCATGTGTGTGTGCGAGCGTGTGTATTTGCCGTGACCTTTTCCTGTGTCAGGTGTGTTTGTGCACAGGAA